TTTTTTTTTTTTTTTTTTTTGAGGGGGGTAGTTTCTAACCTTTCATGCTATTCAGACCTTGTTTATTTTTAAAGTCCACTGATTTAAATATATGTCTCATCCAACTCATCCTCACAGAAATATCCAGAAAAATATTTGCCCAAATATCTGGGCACCATGGCTCAGCCACGTTCAAGAGCATTACAGATACAAGAACTGGCATTCTTTGTGAGGACTTTCAAAAGCCTGTGTCAATAAATATTTTTTTCTGAGCAAGTTGTTTCTTCAAAAAGAGACTTCCATCCTCCACCTGGGGTGGAGGCAGCACTGTTCGCTGGGGTGAGAAAGATGGTGGCACACGGGGCTGGTGGCAGCAGATCAGTGGCCTCGTCCTTCACCATGCGGACATTCATTCAGGCCCATTTCTAGTTCTGTGCTTGGCTTTCTTGAACTGAAAGCTGGTTCAGTTCCTCCAGACCTTGTTCCTTTCACTTTGGCAGGAATTAAGGAGAGAAACAGCCGCCTCACTATGCTGGGTGAATGTCCTAGCAGAGGCCCAAATGCTCCTTCTAAAGATGTTCAAGGAAGCCCTCCTGTGACCAGACTTCACCCCCCACAGACACAGGTCTCACGCTGCCTTCTAAGGTACATGGCACTTGAAACGCCCAAGTTCCAGGGTCCTGCAGGACAAACTGGCTTGCTTTTTGCTGCCGTCCTCCTCCTTAGGCACTTACAAATGATTATCCTCTGTGCTGTTAGGTCACTTGCTAGGTTCAGTTTACACATCTGTAATTCGGGGATCCAGATGTCTCCGAGCTTCATCAAAGAATTTCAGTTTCTGTTTTATTCTCTCCCTTTTTCTTTTCTTTTTTTGGAGATTATTTTCAAGAGGATAACTGTCTATATGTTACCCTGCTATCATGAAAGCGGAGGTCTATTTAAATGGTATTTTAAGTTTTTCCACAGAGTATCCTGACAGCCTTCTGTATGACACCATCCAGGGGACACAATCGCTACGATGTGTCCTGTCAGTATGCTGGCAATGTGAGCATGACATGAAGCAGGGCAGGGATGTGCATGGGGGCTCTTGAGCGTGCTCCACCACACCACGCCAGCTGCCTCTAAAGAACACCGAGTGAGTTTCTAAATAGAACATTTGCTAAATAATGTTTCCACTTCCTTCCTTTTAAAAGCCGATGAGTGGAAAATTTTAAGATTTCTAATTCTCCCAAAGAAATCCTTAATACGTAACAAAATCAACCTAAATATCTGAATCTAATACATTGGTGTGTTCTCACATTCCTGTTTCCTCTAAGTGTATAATTATTTTTTAAAAACGGTCCTTGAACTGGGCCAGCAGGTAGCATGACTACTCTTATGAGGCCAACCATGGTTTGAGTCCTGCACATGGCGGTTTTCCTTGCTCACCCTCCCTCTCCTCTTTCTGTCTGTCCCTCTCTGGTCAAATTGAAGAATACTGATAATAAATAAAATTGAATAATCCTTTTAAAAAAATAAAAGCCTTGAGCTACTGCTAAAACATTTTCATAGAAAAAAAGAGAATACACTCTGGTAGTTAATTTTATGTGTTAACTTGGTTGGGCCATGGGGCCTACATTAAACATGATTTCTGGTATTTCAGAACACAACTGATAGCAAGTATGGGGTACCTGGACTCGACAATGCCTCCGCCTCAGTCTGATTATCCAGGCCCTTTTTATACCAGAAAAAGAGTTCCTACTGCAATCAGTAGAGGAGAGGGACAAAAGGAAAGTGTGGACAAAAACCAACTAATCTAATACAGAACTCTACAGAATGCACCCTCAGGAACTCACCACTGGTGGTTCCTAACTCAGGGCTGAAGCATCGAAGTAGGATCCCATTGCAAGTCAGCCTTCCTGGTTTCCCATTTCCCATTTACTACACGTTTCTGTTTCACGTTTAGTGGGATACACTGCAGTCAGTCACTGTGTTAGCGTTTCAGAGTACCGTACTCACCTGCAGCAACATGTAGTAGATCCCAGCCATGCCATGGGCGGCTCCGACGTACTGCTTCCTGTGCCACTGATACAACAAGGGACAGCGCTCAGCTTTTCTTTCTTCTCTGGACAAAGCCTTCCCCGACTCGATAATAGCATTGACTACCTACAGGGATAGAGACAGCATAAACCTACAAAACTGAGATGCATCCTGTTACAGTCTCATTAACACGGACAATGTGTCTTTATATATACAGAGAGAGAAACGGAGAGAGAAATTAAGCCTTTAAGCAAGGACCATCAGATGTTGTAATGGTTACATTGCTGGACTCCTTCATACTCGACTGTGGTTCGACTCCTGGACCCGGTGACTTAAAATTGACACCAGGCACATATGCACGTGTGCCTAAAATCCTGAGGAGAATGGAGGAGAAGGGACTGTGGCATGGTCATCCCCCCGGGGGATGATTTCTCCCTGTCTGTCTCTGTGTCTCCAGTAAGCACATGCACCCTATAGCAAAAATCTCTCTCTCAAAAAAAAGACATCTTTAGAGAGTTAGTAGTTAACATAGCTATCTTTATTTCATAAATTAATAAATGCAGGCAGGGAAAAATCAGAAGGCAGTATCAGAGTAGAAAAAATATTAAGACATCTAATTGAGAAATCAAAAGTTCTTTGTATGAAAAGTTCACTAAAATCTGCAAGAGCTTCTTATAGAAACTATTCTAGGGACTTGATACAGTATGGTGATAAAACAGGACACTCTGGGAGGCTGACCTCCAAGGGAAGAACTCCCTGAGGACACTGGGTACATGTGTGCCCATGACCGGGGGCTGGCTGAGGCTAGGGGTAGAGAGTAACTTCAAGACCCTATTGCAGGGTGGGAGGATTTGTTTCTCTGTATGTCCCTTTCTGTCTCTCTTGCTCATGGAATAAATAAACTTAAGGGAAAGCAAAACAAAACAAAATGCAGAAAGTGTCCCAGATCTCTTAAATGCCTTGTAGCTGCAAAGTTTTCTCTAAAGGACTGGCAAGTACATCTTCTAGAAAAGGCTGGATAAACTAGCTTTATTTATGAAAGGTTAATGAAATGAGATCTATTGTGGCATGAAGGATTTTAGTTAGATCAAAAGAATGTCATGTCTGAAGTGACTATGTAGCACAGATACTGCTTCCTCACATCCATTCTCCTCTCATACTTCTGTCAAAATACTCCAAACGTCAGCTGGGCATCAGCCTCCGAGCTAGGATAGCTGAACACAGTCATTTGACTAAGTTCTGGCAACAGGCTGTGAGAAGTCAAGTGGGCAACTTGTGGATGAAGTCTGTAAAAGGAAAGTGGTCAGCCCTCCAATTCTGCCCCTTGCATGGGCTGGGCTGGGAGTGCTAAACTAGCTTTGGTGACACAGACGCAGGCGCATACCTGTGAGCTGGTTGAACAAGAATGTCCCTCGCCACATTCACTGGACCGCCCACCAGTGCAGACATCTCATGAACGAGAAGTCAGCTTCCTAACTGTGAAGGTGCTGCTGTTTGGTTCCAACAAAACCAGCTGGACTGTGCTGGCTCCACAGCCTCATGGTTAAGGGAGAAGAATCCCAATGGCTGACTATGGTTCAAATCCTGGCCCTGACAGCTTGAAAAACATTCCAGGCGTGTATGTGTGCATGCACAAAATCCAGGTAGGATGGAGAAATGGAGGGGAGGGGGCTGTAGCATGGCCGTGCCCCACTGGGAGGTGCTTTCTCTCTCTTTCTTTCTCTCACCACCTCTGGTGAGTGCACACACCCTCTGCCAATTAAGAAAAAAGGAATAAAACTCACATATATGTTTAAAAGTAACAACTGGGTCAAAAGATGAAAAGACTTTTCGGGAGCCAGCAGTTAGTGTAATGGCTATGTCGCTGGACTCCCACGTAGTTGACTGCGGTTTGCATCCCGGACCCGGTGACTTAAAACTCACGCCGGGCGCATGTGCGTGCGTGCCCAAGATCCCGAGAGGAGAATGAAGGAGAAGGAATTGAAGCATGATCATCCCCCCTGGGGGGTGATTTCTCGCTTTCTGTCTCTATGTCTCTGTCTGCCTGGCGAGCGCACGCGCCCTATAGCAAAAATCTCTCAAAAAAAAAAACACTTTTTAAAAATCTTCCTAATAAGCAATAAGAAAAACAGGGTCTTTTTTTTTTAAAGAACTATTTGTTTAATTTTCTTTATTATTATATTACTATTACCATTTTTTAATGTGTTATAGGGCACATGCACTCACCACAGAGAGACAGAGTGGGAAAGTGAGAAAGCAAGCTGCCGGGTCCAGGACTCAAACCGTGGTCAGCACGTGGTAGTCCAGCGCCTTAACCACCATGCCACCTGCTGGTTCCCAAATAGGGGCTATTTTAAATTTTATAAGGTACTTTACAAAGTTAATCCTCCCAAGAAGTGGAGACCAGCTACTAGTATAACCCTGTGCTCACAGGTTTGCAGGGTGGGGATGAGAGGATGCCCGTGATACCTCTTTAACAGCAGAGTCACACACGGTGCCTGGCCCAATCTCCGTGTTGAGGTACAGTAAGGCGTACAGATACCCCGCCCGTCCATAAAGCAGCTCATCAGGAAGGTCTGAATCTTGGCAGACAACAGTTCTCTGGAGCTGCAAAAGTCTAACCAAGAAAATTGTCTTTTGAGAGAACATCCAAATACTTCTTTCTGAAACAGTAAGTAGCCCCCTCACTTTAGGAATTATCCTTTTTTTTAACCTTTACATTTAAAACTATAATTTTTAAAAAACCTCCAAAACTCGGAAAATGACAAAAATTTCACTGTTTTCTCTCTCAAATGTCAAAGTTAAGAATGACATATCTTTCTGCTCCAAATTTCAACCTTTAATCCTATTCTAAACCATGTAATAGAAGACGTTTTATTCAGAAATTCAGAATTAGAAAAAACTACTTAAAAATCTCAGTATGAATGGTACTGAAATATAGCCAGTGCTGGGGAATTAGCTTGAGCTATCCTGTCTATCAAGGAACTTCAACAACCAGCGTGTGTCACATACTGAACCAGACCCCGGGACTAAGCCCTGGTTTCCACTTCTTTGAGGAAAAATATAAACGGATGGGTTTGATAAACGCTTACCCTCCCTGACTGTTCCACCAACAGCATATCTCATCCGTGATTTCAGGGTTGAACCTAGGACTGATTTAGTTATAGTGTATCTAAGGCACATAAACTAATATCTATGCATCGACAGCAACCAAAATTGATTAGAGTAACTCAAGGAACGTGTCACACAGACACGGGGACAGAATAAGGGCCTGTGACAGATTACGCTCAAGACTGATACACGAAGCTCTTCCCTTTTGGGGGGCCTGTCTGCAACAGTGGATGAATTAATAAATATTTTTTCTTGAACATCTTTCTGCAGCACAAGCTTGAACTGAGAATTTGCAGGAAAGGTTTCTCGTTTGGAAGACTCACTTGGTGATGCATTCCTGGGACTCACAATCACTCTTGAGTTTATGATATATCACGGCTCCCACAGCGAGGGGCCCAGCATCGCCACAGAGGAAGGTGACCCTGCGGCCGTTCAGGTTCCGTAGCGTTCTCTTTACGTAGTCCAGAGATCGGAGCAGGTAGGTCTGGTCACAGGTGACCCTGTGCAACTGCAGGTACAACAGGGCTATGCCTGGAACAAGCCCCACCCCAGGAGAAAAGCATTAATACGTTTTCCTCTGACTGTCAGGACATTATTCTGTGATTACGTGAAATGCCCTCATCTACACAGACCCTGTGTTTCTAAAGGGGCAATGTAAAAAAACAACAACAATACATATCACATACATTTCTTTAAAAAGGAAAAAAAAAATGCCAAGTCAGAGAAATCAGGGCAGAAAAAACAGAAAACGAGTTGCAACAGCACCTTGCTACCTGTCCGGCACAGGGATTCAACACCTTTTACTCCCACACAAGAGAAGACCTACCACTCCCCGCTCGTCCCCACTCGGCTTTCATTCATTTCAAGGATGTATTTGTTGGCCTTTGTCTCTTAAGCAAACCTGGATTCTCTGACTTCCATGCAATTGCTTCTTTCTATGTTATTACAAAGTAAGTGATTACTTCTCTGGATTTTAATACCCTCTTCTTCCTAGCTTTACTATTTCTCACAATTTTTCAGTTTTCTTTAGTGAACAACCCAACAAATCAACAAACCAATCAGTGGGTCAACTCAGCATGGATGAAGAAGAATAAGGTAACTAGTACAGAGGGGTCGGTAATCACCTATCCAATCTTCCTAGTTTTGATTAAAGAATGGATCTAGACTTTTAAATGAACCAGAGAGGCACCTTTGTCCAAAAGAACTTTGGAGGATGGCCTATATGGCTGTTCTTAAAGAACAGTCAGGCCAGTCCTATGGCTCAGCAGTTTAGAGAGTTGGATCCCACCTGACTGACTGCAGTTCAAATCCTGGCCCTGGTGGCTTGTAAAACATGTCAGATGCATGTGTGTGTGCTCAAAATCCTGATGGGAAGGAGAAATGGAGGGAAAAGAACTGTGGTGTGTTCATGCCTCCTTCCCTGGCCTCCCAGCCCACCCTGGCAAATGCATGCAATTTACCAATTAAAAATAAAAAAGCAGTCTTATTCCTGGGTTCAAGAAGTCAATATATGACAGCTAAGTATAAAATATATAAATATAAATATTCACTTAATAAAATACAGGGAAAATATTGACAGAGATGATATGATGGTTAAAAAATCCAAATAAAACATTACTCTAATATTTGAACTGAGGTTCTTCAATATTCTAGTCTTTATTTAATATCCTACTCTGACTTTTATTGTTTTTCATTTTGCTTTTTAATTTTTATTTACCAAAGAGTGCATGTGCTCACCACAAAGTGACAGAGAAACAGAGAGGGAGAAAGCTCCCCCTGACGGGGTATAGTCACACCACAATCCCTTTGCCTACGTTTTTCCACCTTGCTGGGATTTGGGGCATGCCAAGTGCACACGGCCAGCGTGTTTCTCAAGTCACGAGGACTGAGATTCTAATTGCCCAACTGGCCATGTAGGACTTGGCTGCCTTAACCAACAGACCATGGGGTGAGTCCTCATTTTGCTTTTTAAATTTCTCTAAATATCTAGCTGCTTCTTTCTTCACTTCTTCTTTTCAGAATATCTCATTTCTCTTTTAATTAATCTTTACTTAACACCTTTTCAATTTTCTTTCTTGAGAAGTCCTTCTTTTGTCACTATCCGTTTATTTGAAGATGTTGAGTCAGTGGGAGCAGCAGTTAGTGTAATGGCTATGTCGCTGGACTTCCATGCAGTCGACCACGGATCGAACCCAGTGGCTTGAACTCACACCTGGCGTGTGTGCATGCACGCCCAAGATTCCGAGAGGAGAATGGAAGAGAAGGAATTGCAGTGTGGCCATCCCCCCACCACCCAGGGGATGATTTCTCACTTTCTGTCTCTCTGTCTCTGTCTTTCTGGTGAGCGCACACACCCTATAGCAAAAACCTCTCAAAAAAAAAAAGAAAGATGTTGAGTTGGTGACCAGCAAATGGCATAATAGTTAGGTTGTTGGACTCTCATGTAGTCAATCGTGGTTCAAGTCCCAGACCTGGCAGTTTAAAACTCACCCTGGGCACATATGCATGTGTGCCCAAAAATCCCAAGAGGAGAATGGAGGAGGAGGGATTGAGGTGTGGGCATCCCCCCAAGGGACGATTTCTTGCTTTCGCTCTCTGTCTTTCTGGAGAGCACGTGTGCCCTATACAAAAATTTCTCTCTAAAAAAAAAAAAAAAAGAGAGAGATGTTGAGTCAAACATATCTAAAAGTGGCATATTTGGAAGCTCCAAAATAAGTCTTCTGTATGAATTGCTTATCATCTCCTTGTGTGTATGCTTTCTGAATTCAAATGTCAATTACAAACATAGAAAATAGGCAGTTAAAACCTAAATACACCAGGCCAGCAGATGGCGTAGCAGTTACAGCGCTGGACTCCCACATGGTCGACTGCTGTTCAAGTTCTGGACCTGGTGGCTTGAAAATCATGCCAGGCTTATGTGCATACATGTCAAAGCCCCCAGGAGGAGAGTGAAGGAGAGGGGGATTGTGGCATGGCCATCTCCCCAGGGGGGGATTTCTCATTTTCACTCTTACTCTCTCTGGAGAGTACACGCACCCCACGGCAAAAACCTCTTTTAAAAAAACCATAAAGCCAAATATACAATAATTACTAAAAAAGACTAATAAGTTCTCCCTGATGGAATTAGAAACCTCTAAAACAGGATGCTGATTTGTTTATCCCGTGACTCTAACACCTACAGTCATAGATAGATAGATAGATTTTTTTTTGCCATAAGTGTGTTTTAAAGTAAATGATGACAAGTAAAGTATTTTTTTAAAAAAGAAAGTCATCAGATTTGTAAGGTTTTTTTTTTTTTGGAAAGGTTTTTGCTATAGGGCGC